AAGGAACACAGCTGATCGTGCCCTCGGACACTTGCCTCCATGTGAACACAGCTGACACGGTGTGTTACGTCAGCTTTGGGTATACGACATGGTGACTTGACCAGTCTGTGCGTCATGCCAGGCGTAACTAGGCTTTCCCTTTCAGCAGCCCAGTCAGGTGCAAGGCTTTTCTCTTGCGTGCAGCTCTGCCCCTTCTCTCCATGGATTCTCCCTGTCTTCCCTGGAATCCTGGCCCCACCCTGCTGGCCATTACCCTCAGAGGCTGCTGGGCTCCAGAGGCTCCGAGTCACCCTTGGGGGTGAGCCTTCTGCAGAGATGCTTGCCCAGCTCCGCCTAGGGGCCAGGCAGGCGGCAGAGGCCAGTCAGGACGTCGCGCGCCATCTTGGTGAATTTCACTTCTCGTCTAGGAAGTGGCTAGAGAAGGCACAGAGATAGGGTGTGCGTGGGCAGAACCCGGGCCATACGGATCCATACCGGTCTGGTCAGGCTCATCCTCTAGATCAGGGCAGTTTCTGTGCCGTCCCAGGATTTACCCCACTCCTCTTAGGGTGGCTTGCGTGCAAGCATGCCAAGGGGGTGTGGCCGCGGCGAGGGCTTTGCGTCTTTGAGAGACACTCAGCACCCTCACCCTTCTCAGTGGGCTTGCAGAAATGGCCAACACCCTCCAGAACCACACCCTCCTGGTGGAAACAGAAGCTCAGAGAGAGGCAGGTGTAGGAGGCCCACAGATGGAGGTCGGTCAGGAGTGGACAGAAGCCTCAACGTCGGTGGAATAATTCCGTCGCATCTGGGAGCTCACGGTTGATCGTTAATAAGGAGGGAAGCTCAAAAGAGGGTGTTGGCTGGCCCTGGAGACAGACGGTGGCCAAGGAGAGGGCTCTGAAGGTTAGGACTGGCAGAAAGGTCAGAGATGGTCAGAGGCTGGTAAGGGGCATCCTTGGGTCTGTTCCATCCAAACACTGTTGAAGCAAGAGACAGGTCTGCAGACCATCAGGCGCATTGCTCAAGGTTTTCATTATATGAGAAAAGAGAAAATACAGAAGCAAAGAAGTTTAATGGGGGGGGCTATAATATAAAATCTGAGTGAACAACATCAATACAAGCTCAAAATCATGTGTCATGTGATTGCACATAATCCATATAAACTCTAGCATGTGTTGTATACGACCTTATCCATGTGAAGGGTTAATCTATATTATAGATCCTTATGTATGGGGGAGGCGGGGAGAAGGGGCGGAGAGAGAAGATGCCGAAGTTTGCTTTGTGCAGTGAAAGGAAGCAGTTACGTTCCAGAGCAATGAGCACACCTGACCTTCAGGTGCTGTCTTCTAAATTGCCATTCTCACAGCCCCGCCTGCCGCCATGGGCAGCCTCCCCACTCATCCTCCCTGATTCTGGGTGACAACTAAGTGTGCAGCCAGGCCGGGGGAGGGTCTCAGAACAGGATGCAGAGCTGCTCTCAGATGGGACTGCGCCTGTCACGACACTTGGGGTTTCAGTCTTGCAACCAGAAGAACGGGGTTATCCCTGTTCTGGGATGTGTAGACAAGAATTTTCAATCTCAGTACGGCTTTGTGTGCCTTAGACGATCCTGTTTGGATCTCTCTGTGCTGGTACATTCTTGGAGTTTCGAGTGAGGTCCAGGCTGCGGTCATGGTTACCCTCGTAGCCAGGCAGAGCAGCGAGTGAGCTGGCAAACCCCACCAGAGAAACAGGGCAGTGAGGCGGCCGGTAACACTAGTCACCACGCCAGTCCAACGCCGAGGTCTTTGAGCTGGTGTGGGCAGGTCCACTAGGAAATCGAGATACTCTCCCAGCCCCAAGGCAGGGGCACATAAAGCCATGCCTAGATTCTCCTGGAAGCACCCCACACCAGAGGTGGGTTCTGCATATGGTAATGTCCAGCATGGTGTCAGCTCAAACACAAGGTACAAGATGATCAGACGGACCGTATTAGAAATAGTAAATTCAAGTCAGTAGCTGACCAGGCTGATGTCCAGCAGAAATATAAGAGCTACAAGGGCTGTCCACTATCACCACGGCTATTCTACACAGTACTACAAGTCCTCACCTCAGCGATCAGACAAAAACAAAAAAAAAAAAAAAAAAAAAAAAAAAGATAAAAGCATCGAAATCGACAAGGAAGAAGTCAAACTCTCACTCTTTGCAGATGATATGATCTTTATGTGGGAAACTCAAAAGACTCCTCTCCAAAACTGCTAGAACTCATGCAGGAGTTCAGTGAAGTGTCAGGATATAAAATCAATGCTCAGAGAGCAGTTGCATTTCTATACACCAACAGCAAGACAGAAGAAAGAGAAATTAAGGCGTCGATCCCATTTACAATTGCACCCAAACCATAAGGCACCTAGGAATAAACCTAACCAAAGAGGCATGTTCTGAGCGGTGGCTTTCAAACTTTTCCCATGGCCACAGCTTGCTGGAGACCAAGAACTTCAGATTTGTTAGATCTGGGTGTTGCGCTTCTACTGTTTCCGGGCGACGCTGACATCGCTGGCCCAGGGACCACACTTTGAAAACCACTAACCCTAAGCACGAACTCCCTTGAAAACGGGGAGAGGAGATGAAGCAAGAGCTCTTTGCTTCCCTTTCCCTGCACCTGAAACGTCTTTGGCTGAGGTCTCAAGGGAATAGGAGAAAAGCAGTTCTGGCTCGAGTGAAGAAGGGAACAGAAGGCTAAGAACTTGAAGGGAGGGCCCTACAGCCCTGCGGTAAGCAGACCCTTTCTTCTGGGGCTCAGCACCCAGTGACCCTACAGGAGCCGGTCCAGTTTGCAAGTAGAAGCAGGCAGGCAGTGCCTTGTCCTTGTCTTTCAAAACCTTCTTTTTATCACGTCCCATTGCTAGTAAACGCAAAGCTTTGTCGAACATGTCTTGCCACCAGGACAAACAGTCCCCCTGAAGCCTTTGGCTCAAGGACTAGTCTGCGGAGGAGCCAGGGCCAAGCCAGGTAAGGCCCGTGTGGGGTTTTCTGGAAGAAGCTCTGGGGAGCCAGTCGCTGATCAGAACATTAGTTACGGGTTTCTGCCGTGGGAGGAAGAGCAGCTACTGACTCTATTCCAGAAAAGGAAAGGCTGTGGGTTGTCTGAATTTAAACCTTCAGGGGACGGGGAGGGGGTAGATGTCACCTTTTATTTTACCACAATGGAGACCTTAACAGGAAATGCATTTGGCTGAGGTGGGAGTTAGGATATGTTGCGCAGGAGGTTGACCCAGACGGAGTCTAAAAGGAATTCTGATTTGTCTGGGGGTGCTGGTCAGCAGGTGCCTTATTGACACGAGTTTGTATTCAGAGGCTTTTGATTTCTGGCTGAAGGAGGGAGAAGCGTAAGAGCCGGGAGCAGTTCCCAGGGAAAAGACAAGAACAACGGCGTGACAAAATTATTATGAGGTTGACATCAGAGCACAAAACTGCGTTCTACAGTATTCCTGCAATTAAGAAAAAAGTGCCTCGCAGATGAACTCTCACTCCACAAACTCAGATAGGCAAGAAGAATGTCCTTTTGATTTTTTATATTGTTTTGAAGGTTTTATTTATTTGAGAGAGAGAGAGAGAGAGAGAGAGAACGCAAACAGGAGGGGAGGGGCCCGGGACAAGCAGGCTCCTTGCTGAGCCAGGAGCCCGGAGAAGTATGTCTTTTTAAAAGCTTTCTATTCCACATTTTCATTTCCATTTTTTGTAGTTTGTTTGATGGCAGAAATTTTACTTCAGTCCATTTGAGATTGGACCCCCTTTTTCACACAGTCACAGCTGCATTCCCAGACTTTGGGGAACAAATTCATGTCATGTGATTACTTTCCTTTAAAATTTGCTGAGACATCTTTAAAGCCTTATGGAAAATAAAATAAATATTTCTAAATGTGCCGTCGGATGGAAGTTTTAATTGTGTCGTTCGACTCTCCTCTGTTGGTGGCATGTTGGTGGCTGCTTGGGGTCTGATTTACGGCGAGCAGCGTGCTGTGGGCTCCCACTTTCACGGCGATTTATCACTTGCTGCGTGGACCCAGAGTCTACTTCATAACGCGCGTCCCGGCTGAGAAGGGTTGCATCGGTTTGGTAACTTGAATCATCCGCAGAAACTCTCTTTAATGGCGCCGTTTGCCTTAGCGTCTTCTGCGGCGGACGCTGGCCTGGCCAGGCCGGCCGCCTCCGCGTGATACTGGGCTCAAGTGTCTCCTCCCTATCTGTGCCTCCCGATGGCTCGGTGCTTTCGTGCACCGAGTGTGTGTTTTTACAAACAGCCTCAGAGCTGCATTACGTCGCAATCCACTCTGACGTCCTCTGTCAGCTGGCGAGTTCACTTTATGTGTAGGGGAGCGACTGACATGTCTGGACTTGGTGTTACTATTTGTTTTCACATTATACTCTCCAGTCTAGGTTCACATCCTTCTTTTTATTAAAATCCTTTCCTAGGACCAATATTCATACATTTCCCTTGAACCCCGTTTGCTGTGTCTGTGGCGACATGCCCTTTTCTTAAAGTCCAAGCAAGTTGTTTGCTGATGCAGCCTTTTGGTCTGAATATCCAGCAACAAGTTCTTTCTTGTTTGTAAATCGGGGTGAAATTCACAGACTATAAAATTAAGCATTTTAAAGTGAGTAACTCTACAGCACGTTGTACATCCATAATGTACAGCTGTCACCTCTGTCTAGTTCCAAAATGTGACACGTTCTGAGCCAGTGTCATCCGGGACACATTCTTCTGAGTCTTGTCCTACTGACTTTATTTTTTTTTTAAGATTTTATTTATTTATATGAGAGGGACAGAGAAAGACAGAGAGACAGAGAGACAGAGAGAGGGAGAAGCAGACTCTCTGCTGAGCAGAGAGCCTGATGTGGGGCTCAATCCCAGGACCCTGTGATCATGACCCAAGACAAAGGTAGATGCTTAACCCACTGAGCCACCCAGGCGCCCCTGCCTTGTTTTGTAATTTTTAAGACTGAGCTGGGACTGACATATAACATTGCACTGGTTTCAGATGTGTCTATTACAGACACTGAACGCTGGATCCCAGGAAAACGCCCAGTGAGGGTTGTGGCTGGAGGCTGAGGGGCTCCCCCCACCTGCGTGCAGTAGAGTGAATGTGTGTGATCCCCACACACGGGATGGGAGCTGCCAGGGCCCGGTGCCCTCACCCTTGCCCCACGGTCTCGCCTTGCCTTCCAGACACGGTAAGTCCGGAGCGTACAGGGAAAGGAGGAGGATGAAAATGGATGACATCTTGGCCACTTAAATATCGACCCACGTTCAGTGAAGGGTCTGACTTCAGTGTTCCATGTGGTGCAGACCCCACTTCTGGAACCTGACGGGGCAGGAATTGGGGGAGGGACAAAATGTCTTCCACACGTTTTGCTTGTAGGTGACGGGGGTGGGTGGGGTCCACTGGGGCTTCGGACTGCTGTCAGCGAGTGTTTCAGGGAGGCTCCCACACCCTGGCAAAGGGCTGCTGGTGGTGTAAGGGTTGTGCGCTGGTGTCTTTCTCTTTCACTGGAAAGTGGGGACAGCTGTGTCCGGAGCTCTGCATAGTTGGTTTTTGTTTTTGTTTTTGTTTTTGTTTTTGTTTTAATGATACTTTGAGGCCCGTAGACCCTGGTACCGAGGGCACAATGGAAGGGTCCGGAGGATTGTAGTGTTGGGGCGTTTTGTGAATAAATGGTGCCTGAATGTTTCTGGCAGCTCAGACTCTTGTTCCCAAAGCCTTCATTGGAGAAGGCCTCCTTCCTGTGGAGGAAGGGCCACGGGCTTGGTCTCAGCCACCTGCTCAGACATCAGGAAGAGACTGAAGGGAGAGCTGTCTTGTCCTGTCACCGCCGAGGCCTCTGTTCTGTGGGCCGGTCACTGCACAGCTGTGTCCCATGACTCAGCAAGGTCATGGCCACCCCAGGATGACACCCACCGCGGGGTCTGGAAATTCTCCCTTCTTCACAGCTTCTGTGATAGACTTCCCTTCCTCCTCGGCCGTGGGGCTCTCCAGCAGTTGTCTGACTATTTGGAGATCTCTTTGAGGTAAGTGGATGGAGAACTGAGAGGAACGGCGGCTCCAATGACCCGAGTTTAATTTATGAGTTCAGTCATTTTATTTCATTTATTCTTTTCATTGATCTTCTTAGCACCTGATGCATTTTTTTTCTCCCACTAAAATATATTCTGAACTATATTGCCATTGGTGAGTGCATAGCAAAATAAATCAATAATGAAAAAGACAATATTTGTCGCATTAAGGAAGCTGTTTGAGCAGAGCAAAGGGCAGCAGCGTGGAGCTCACTGAGCGAGCTATCGGCCACGCCTCCCTGTGTCCGCCCATGTCCAACCCATCCTGCTCCTTGTCCAAAGGATAGAAGAGGATTCTCTTCTGGGACGTAGGTGGTCCTGTGGGCTCCCACTCTATGGAGCCAGAGTCTTTCCCGCCCACGCCTCCAGGAACTTGGCACAAGGTCTGCACGTAACCTTCCCAAGGACCCTTCTGACACTGGAATGGTTTCTGAGAACAGGGAGACGTTGCTCTGCATGCGACTTCCCATTTGCTTTAAAGTAAAAGCTGGAAGCCTGTTCCGTAGGGTCACCCATCGTCCCGGTTTGCCTGGTTTGTAGCTGTTGTCCCAGAGGAATTATTAATGCCCCATTTTTACTCTGAAGTGGGTCCAGTTTGGACAATGCGAATGTCTCTTCCTCCTCTAAGGCCCTCCACCCCTGCCCCACCCCCTCCGTTGTATTTCTCTGTCCTGTTGTTCCCCTTCTCACTTGCCGCAGCGGTCCGCAGCCCCACACTGTTCCCTGAGTTCACGGCTGTGCTCCTGCCCCCAGAGCCTTCGCACGAGCTCTTTCTATTTCTGGAACACTCTTCCATGGCTTATCTGCATAATCAATTCCTCCAAGTCTTTGCTAAATTTTACCTTCTCAGTGAGACATAGGGTGACCATAGGCCTTGTTTCTGTTCCCTCGTGTATCAGAAAAGCCCCCGAATGCCTCCCACCGTAAACATCGGTACACATTTGTTGAATGAATGCGCGAAAGAATGAATGAAAACTCAAGTTCTGTTTTCCCCAAAGACTTGCCAGGTGACTGTCTAGCGGCAAAGATCGGAGGGGTTACTAGCTGGTGATGACTTCCTAGTGTTTCCCTCAACTGCATATCTTTTTTCATTTTTATTTCCCAGAGGAGTACTGGAACATTTTACAGCACTGGACTTGACCATTTTGTCACAGACCAGTTTAAGGGAAACCTGGAAAAGAGGCAAGTGTTTAGGATCCCTAGAAATAATCCCACAGAAGCATCTCTATTTTATCTAAAATACAGGCTAAACCAGCAGAAATAGTTCTAAAACTAAAAAACTATCAATGTTGGCATCATGCTATGTGGTTTATGGAGCTCTCCAATCCCACTATCTTATTTAATCCTTATAATAGCACGTTGTATTATCCCTCTTCAGTTTATGAGGAACCATAACCCAGAGAGAATAATGACTTCCTGCAAGATATATGGCTAGTTATGTTTAAGCAGAGTGTTTAAGTGGCAAAGTGACTTCCCATGTCTGGTTTAGTGCCTCACTATGTCTGATGTCCCTTTCTAATTACATCAGGACACCCTTTCATTAGTCATGACTTCTGGGGTCTTTGGGGAAAGCACGCAGGAGACCGAATGCCGTGACCCACAGCACATGACAGCACAGGATGCCATCCCTGTCCTAAGACACAGCTGAATGGACACTAAAGGAGCAAGGCCAGGGACATTTTCCATCCAGATCCAAATGGACACTTCATGAAAGGCTTTCATAAGAAACAGAAAAAAAATCTCTTTCTTAGGATATTTCACAGTCCCCTCCCAGTGTCCCTCTACTCTTACAACCAAGACAGTACACATAACAATAGTGATAATCGTTACCCTGTACTAAGCACACTGCGTGTCGTGAACTATTCGAAGTGCATGTGGTAATTCACTTACATCTCACATCAGCTCTACATAGTAGACATTATTATTTGCCCATTTCTGCAAAGGTCCTAAAAGCACATTTAAGCCCATCTCACAGTTAGAGATTGGAAGAAAGGGAATTTGAACCCACGTGGCCCAGAAAAGTGCTCCAGAAAAGTGCTGTCCAATAGAAATATAAGCCCCATGTGGTTTTTAATCTTCCAATAGTTACATTAAAAAGTGAAAAAATGGGGTGCCTGGGTGGCTCAGTGGGTTAAGCGTCTGCTTTCTGCTCAGGTCCTTATCTCAGGGTCCTGGGATCAAGTCCCAAATCGGGCTCTCTGCTCAACAGGGACCCTGCTTCCCCCTCTCTCTCTGCCTGCTGCTCTATCTACTTGTGATCTCTCTCTGTGTCAAATAAATAAATTAAATCTCTTAAAAAAAGTGAAAAGAAACATCCATGTAAACTAGAGGGTATTATGCTATGTGAAGTAAGTCAGATGGAGAAAGACAAATATGATATGACAAATACAAAAGACAAATATGATTTCACTTATATGTGGAACCTAAAAAGCAAAAACAAAGGCAGAAACAAACCTGTCAATACAAAGGGCAAACTGGTGGTTACCCCAGGGGTGGGGGAGTGGGAAGAGGGACAAAATAGGTGAAGGGGAGTGGGAGGTACAGGCTTCTAGTTATGGAATGAGTAATTCCCAGGGATGAAAGGCACAGCATAGGGAACATAGTCAATGGTACTGTAATGCCATCGTCTTGGGACAGATGGCAGCTACATTCGTGGTGAGAAGAGCAGAAGGTACAGAGGTACAGAGGTGTGCAATGACTATGTTGTAAACCCGAGACGAATGTAACATTGGGCATCAGCTACAGTTCAACAAGAAACAAATGTAAAAAGAAACAAACAAAGTGAATTTTAACGATGTGTTCAATTTTAACCCAATATATCAAAACTTGAATTCTTCAATATGCAACCTTATAAAAATTATTAATATAATAGTTCACAGTTTGATAGTAAGTCTTCTAAGTGCAGTGTGCATTTTATTTTTTGAGCACTTCTCAATTTGGATTCTGAATTTTAATCAGAAATTCTTAATCTATATTGAGATTTCATTAAATGCATATAGTTGAAAAAGCACATTTCCATATTCAAATTATTTCAATCATGTCTAAAGTTATGCAGTAACTGAATTGTATGAGTTTTTTTTTTTTTAAGATTTTATTTATTTGACAGAGAGAGACGGTGAGAGGAGGAACACAGCAGGGGAGTGGGAGAGGAGAAGCAGGATTCCCACCCAGCAGGGAGCCCGATGCAGGACTCGATCCCAGAACCCTGGGATCATGATCTGAGCCGAAGGCAGATGCTCAACAACTGAGCCACCCAGGCACCCCCAAGTATGAGTTTTTAAATTAAAATTAAATACAGTGTAAAATTCAGTCCCTCTCTGGTATGTTCTGAGTGCCCAGAGCCCCCTGTGGCTGCTGGCTGCTGTGCAGGGGGCTCTGAAGCCTGTGTCCATGCCCATGGTGCCAGACCACTCTGGTTTCTGGGAGCGGCCCCCTGCCATTTTGGCTTGGCCCCATTTGCCCCATTCCTGAGTGTTCTTATGATCTTCTTCTCCTGAGCTTTCCAGATCTTCAGACATTCAGCCCATAATTCCTGTCTTCATCTTTAGCATTAACGTCAAATGTCCTGAGTTACACAGATCCCACATCATGCTTGGAGAAATGTAAACAATGTCATAAAACTAATAAAAAACTATGTGGGGTTTCCTTACCAGCTCTGCTTAACATACAAGAGAATTCCAGGGAGATCGGATTATCTCTTAGCCATCTGGGGTGGAGATAATAGCCAGATTAGACTGCATGCCAGAGCCTTTGCTTAATGAGGCTCTGGAATCATTCCTTTGATTTCCGCCGAAAGCCCTGCACATCCCCCTTGAGTTGGTGTGGGTGAACTTGGGAGAGGGAGAGGATTGGTAAGAAATTGAAGAGAGGAAACTTGCTCCCCCTAGAATTCCCTTCCCTGCTTCTGACCTGGCACTCGGGGAGGAAGTTCTTGTCCCCTCTGCAGCCAACAGGGCAGATGAGAGGAGAGATCTGTCCAGCACCTGCAGTGTGGCCAATGTAACCGATAGAATATTTGCTTTTATTTGGTTTTACTCAGTTTTAAATTTAAAGAGCCACGTGTGGTGGGGGCATGCCTGTTGGAGGGCACACGGGCTCTGTGAGGCAAGGGACTGTGGCCCTTCTTCTGTCCCAGTTCCCAGCACAGGTGCCTGGGAAAACTGTAGACGGTGTGACTCTTACGGGCTGATCCCTACAGTGCTGAGATGGAGGCTAACTGTGAAGAAATTCTGTTTCACAGGGCTTGGGGGTCTGTGCTGAGGAGCTCAAGAGACTGAAGTTTCTACCGTGTGTGCAGAAGGCGCGCAGACATGCGAGGCTCCAGGTAAGGGAGTTCCTGACAGAAATGCTGCTTCGGCCTCTGCTCTGAACTGTATGGCACATTCTTTAAAATGCACGTTCATGAGTTGTCTGAAGGTCTACAAGATAAGAAAAACGAAGGCTCTCCCCTCGGGCATGCACTACTACCTCTTAGTGATGTGAGAGAACAGGGTTTGAGCTCTACGACGAGCGTCCATCCAAGTGACTTATACGCATTGATTTACACGACCCTCGAGTTCCACCATTCTCTCCACTTTACAGATAAGGAAATTAAAACCTGGGACATGTGCCTTGCTTGTGGTCACTGTGCTGAGTCAGTGAAATGCAGGAACGGGGTTTGAACCCCCGCACTGAGGCTCTGCTCTCGCTGTGTTGCCTTGACAATCAGTAGTTCACCCTCACTGTGCTCATCCTTCCTACCGTGGGTGTGCTGTGGGCTGTGGCATCGTGTGTGCGCCTGTGGGGTGAGCTTTCCAAACTTGGTGGTTTGGTGCCCAGCCTGGCAGGGCAGGGGCTGAATGACTAAGGCATGGGGTGGCGCACAGTCTGGAGGGAAAAGAATTCACCTTGGAATTAGAGCCTTTGGTTTCTTACTGATGAAGTTTTGGGAAATATTACTTATTTCATTTGGTTTTCAAAATTACATAAAACATGTGGGTAGAAGGACTTTATAAAGCAGGAAGTAGGATGCGTAGTGAAGAACCTAAAATGTGGGCACATCGGCCGTTAAGCAGTGCCAGAGCTCAGAGATTACACAATTACAGGACTTAGGGGGTTACCGAAGATTTGGGGGGAATTATGACCTTGCTATACCCTGCAGTTCAAGGATTCATCTTCCTCTAACGTGAAAGAGAGGCCTGAGGTCTTTATTGCAATTTCAGATTTTCTGTGTCTTAGAGTCGCCTTAATATCAGAGGAACCAAATGTCTGGGAGGTAACCCAGATCACAACCACAGAATAGGTTAAAGGATGAGACCTTTGTTTATGTCAGCAGAGGCCAGGGTAGCCCCTTCCAGGAGATGAGTCACCCCCGGTCCACGTATATGGCCGGTGCGCTCATGGCTGCGTCCATCCCCGAGGCTTCCAGCCTTCCTGGTGGCCGGCTCCAGTTCTGACCTCAGCAAGGAGCCCTGCATGTGTCTCCCTGAAAGTACCACCTGCTGTTCTGGTTGTGCTCACCCCTCACGGAAGCCGGAAGGCCATGGGCATGACGCAGTGTGGAATGGCTGCCCCCAGCAAAGCAATAATTTAAAGATGTGCCTGAAGCTGGGAAAGGAAGTGGTGGATTAACAGCATCGAAATTCATAAAACACTTGCAGTGAAAATAAGTGGCAAAACTGATTTGTTAAATCCTAGGTGATTCTTCGCTAGCTTTACATGCACGGCCCAGCCAGCAACCACTCAGCTAACCTGGGGGGCCGGGTGACGGTGGCACATTGACCTGTTCCTCTTCACAACATTCCTGCAAGGTGGACGCGACATCTTTCTTTTCTGATAAGACTCAGAGAGGCTCAGCCATACGCCCGAAGGCAAGTGCTGGTGCCTGGAGGATGGGAAGGTATGTTGACATTGTATGGACCCTGCTCCTGTCCCTGCACTGGCCCACCAGCCTTGAGTCCCAAGTGAGACGTCTTGGATGACGAGCTAAAGGGGGTGTCCCCAGAGTGCAGTGACACCGTGGGTGCACAGCAGAGGCGGTGCACCGGATTCTAAAGACAGGGTGTTCCAGGAACCAGCACCCTCTCTTTTGGTGGTAGACCCTTCTTCAAGCCAAGACCTTTTCCACCGAGATGAGTTACAGTCTGGTTTATGGTACTGGGGAGATTTTATGAAAATGCACGGGTGTGATGTGATGGCTCCAGTTTCATTGAGATTTAATATGTGAAACCCTGGTCCAAGTCCATACTGTCCGCAGTCCCTTCTCTAGTTGGCTCCTCCCATCACCGGGGTGGCCTTGACTTGAACAGAAACTTCTATACTCATCAGTACAAACGACAAATCCAGGCTGTGATGTTTTCTTTTCAGTGTTCTTACCTCCTCTTTGGGGAATTCTTGCTAGTATACAATGTACAGTGTTGCCAGTTAGGTTATTAAAATTTAAAGTGTTTCTGACCACTGTGGATTTCCAGGCATCCATGATGATGCTTCAAGAGTGGGTCTTTCCACCTCAAGGCAAGTGTGGTACTTAGAGAGCTCAAGTTACAGACACTGGGCTATTAGACAAACTAGGCTTCTTTCTTTCTTTCTTCCTTCCTTTCTTTCTTTCTTTCTTTCTTTCTTTCTTTCTTTCTTTCTTTCTTTCTTTCTTTCAAGATTTTATTTATTTATTTGACAGACAGAGATCACAGGTAGGCAGAGAGGCAGGCAGAGAGAGAGAGGAGACAGCAGGCTCCCCACCGAGCAGAGAGCCCGATGTGGGGCTCCATCCCAGGGCCCTGAGATCATGACTCGAGCCGAAGGCAGAGGCTTAACCCACTGAGCCACCCAGGCGCCCCTAGGCTCCTTTCAATACAGGCTGTGACGTAGGAAATAAACAAGGGGAGGTGACTGGAGAGTCTTCTAGAGCACTGAGCTTGGGGGAAGACAGAGACAGCAGAGGGAGCGCTGGTGTGAACAGAGGGCTGCAGGCTTGGCTGAGCTCCCTTGTCCTGCCTCTCCTGCCCTGGGCACGGACAGAGCCCAGAGCCTGAGGCTCAGCTGCATCCCTACCCAGTGAGTCAAAACAGACCCAGGCAACCGCTGCCGTCCGACTGGCGTCCACAGTAATGGCACAAACTACTCTCCATCCTGACTCTAGTGTGTCCCGCCCTGGGGAAAGGATCAAGTCCCTTAAGATGCAGAGGAGAAAGAAAAGAGGACAATCCAGACGTGGCTACATTTCGAATTAGATTATGTTAGATTATATTATGTTAGATTGTATTATGTTTGACTGTATTATGTTAGATTGTATTATGTTAGATTATAAAACATGTTCAACAAACACTTCTCTTCCTTTAACTACACTGACTCGTAGCCAGTGAGGAAAATGGCCTGAAAGGCTCATCCCAGAAGGGTCAGGGATCCCGTCTCTCTGGATGGTGGATTATGAGTGTTGGCTTTTTTCTGTATTTGTTTGGCTACATTTTCTTATTTTCAGTCATGGTTTCAATTGCTTTTGTAGCAACAACAAAAAGAAAACAGCATGAGCTTAATGAAAGGAAAAGTAAAATAATTTTTTTCATATTCATTGTTTTACTTTTTTTTCTCGCATCGACGCCTAGAACAGGAACAACTGGATGAAAATAAGTGGAACATATGAAACAAAAAGGTGGAACAAAATCCTGAACTTTGGAAAAAATAATTTTAAAAATGAAAATCTCTATAAACAGTTGCAGAAGAGTTTTGTGCTGTGCCTAGCTGTCAAGACTTAAAAAAAAATTGAGAACATTTGACTCTTCAAAATTATTAAATACGGCGTATATAAACACAGCCCCTGTTTCAGATGCAAATAGTATGACACAGCAGAACGGATTCCTTCGCGCCAGTCTCCCAACTCATAAAATACAGTATTCCTGTCATTTCTGAAACTCCCCGGCTGCTCTCCAGTCCCAGCCGCTTCTTGCTCCCCCGAAATAACTACGATTCTGAACTTTGTGGGTCTTTATCTTTCTTCTTTTCTTTCAAGTTTTGTATCAACAAACAGTTTATTATTTGATACGTTCACTTTTATGTGTCAAATAAATGGAATCATATTGTGCAATTCTTCTGCAGCTCGGTAAGACGGATTTGCGTTATTATCAGGACTGTTGCCACAGTTCAGTTGTGTGATACCCCAGTGCACGAATCTATGAATATACCACAATTTATCTGTTCACTTGGGAGTTGGTTAATTTTTTTTTTTTTTTTTTTTTTTTTTTTTTTTTAAAAATTTTTTTTTAAAATCTTTTTGGTTTTGGGGTGGTGTGTTATAGGCTAGGTGTATCTTTTTTTTTTTTTTCTTTTGTAAGATTTTAGTTATTTATTTGGCAGAGAGAGACACAGTGAGAGAGGGAACACCAGCAGGGGGAGTGAAGAGAGAGAAGCAGGCTTCCCAGCCAGCAGGGAGCCGGAGTCGGGGCTCAATCCCGGGACCCTGGGATCATGACCTGAGCCGAAGGCAGATGCTTAATGACTGAGCCACCCAGGCGCCCCATGGAGAGGTGTATCTTCAAAACTAGTAAGCAGTATGTAGTGTGTATTTGTAAACTGCACATCTGATAAGGGTTAATATCCAAAATAAATCAGAAGCTCATATACAACTCAATAGCAAAACCCCCCACAAATACTCCAATTTCAAAATGGGCAAAGAACCTGAATTGAGACTTTTCCTAAGAAGATAACTCAGATAGCCAACAGGTACACGGAAAGATGCTCAACATCACTAACTATTAGGAAAATGCAAATTAAAACCATGGTAAGATGTCACCTCACACCTGTTAGAATGGCCATCCTCAAGAAGACAAGAAATAACAGGTGTTGGCAGGGACACGGAGGAAAGAGAACCTCATGCACTGTTGGCGGGAATGCAATTGGCGCAGCCACTGTGGAAAACAGTAGGGAGGTTCCTCAAAAAATTAAAAATAAAACCACACCTGAACCAGCGATTCTACTTCTGGGTATAACTCTGAAGGAAACAAAATCACTGTCCTGGGCAGATACGTGCACCCCTGCGTTCACTGCGGCTTTGCTCACAGTAGCTGAGACAGGAAAACAACGCAAGTGTCCATCGGTAGACGAATGGGTAACGGAGACGTGGTGTATCTGCAATGGTATCATCCAGCCACACGAGAGGGCATTCTCTCTGAGATGTACCTGGAAAGAATTATGCCAAGTCAAAGAAAGACAAATACTATGTGACCTCACTTCCAGGTGGAATCAAGAAAAAGCCAAACTCATACCAACAGAGGTCAGGTTTATGGTTGCTAGGCAGGGAGTCGGGCTGGGGGACTCGGGCAAAGGGGGTCAGAAGGTACTAACGTAAGATAAAAACATTCTGAGGATGAGATGTCCCGCATAGTGACTACAGGTGACAAGACCATATCACAGCGAAGAGAGTGGATCTTAAAGGTTCTCATCACTAGGGAAAGGACTGTGACTCTGGATGTCGGTGAACGTTAACTGGGTTTACTATGGTGATCCTTTCACAACACACACAGATGCTGAATCTTTGTCGTGGGTGTTACACTCGTAGGTCAATCATACCTCAAAAATTGATGTTAACAGGTAACGCCACATTACACTCCAAACACCGCGTCCCCCCAGGCTTCTGCCTGCAGTGGTAGGATTTCCTGTTTGGCCTCACGCCTGCCAGGGTTTGGATCGGTCAGACCTGCACGTGCTTCCCTACGGATCGTGAAGCTCGATCTCACCGCGGTTGCTGCGTTCATTTCCTGGATGCCCTGTGAGGAGGGTAAGCGGCCTCTGCCATGTTTGTCTGTGCCGAGTGCCGCCCACGACCGTTGCTCGTTTGTCTACCGCGGGGCTTTCCTCCGTCTCGCAGACTTACCGCTCGGCGCATTCTGCACACGGATGGTCCTTCAGTTATGGGCCTGCACGCACCTTCTCCCCGTTTCTGGCATGTTCTTTACACTTTGTCTGATTTGTTTTAATTAACGGAGGGTCTCTATTGTAATGTAATATAATTTATCAACTTCTTTCCCTCTGGTTTCCATCCTGGATCCTGTACCCCTCCGCGGCCGTGAAGCTGTTATTTTATGTTTTCACTTTTGTCTTTCTCACTTCGGTTTTCAATCCTCTTGAAATGGACTTATGGGTATCGTTTCCTTTTTATTTCGTATGGAAATATGCAACGTTCGATTAACACAGTTTTTCCTGGTCAAATATGCACGGACACATTTTGTGTTTTTTCTCTTCCATAACTTAACTTGATGAAAATTAATTCTGCCAACTTTTGGTGTGTGAATTTTCTGGTGCTTTTAGGTTATCTGAGATCTCTGTGGTGCCGACCAATATCTGTAAGCTTCCACTTCCGTCTCTGGGTTTTTAAGACACCTGCCCAGGGTTCTCCCTGGCTCTGAGGGAATGATCAACAGCTAGATCACAACAGAATCCTGGTACCCCCCACCACACACACATATTGTTTCTCTAGGCTGAATTCTATCTACAAATCAGAATTCTAGATACGCACATTTCAAAGCACCTGCAGAGGCACTCATCAGTATCAATATTTTTTTTTTCCCTAGGTAATCTGTTGTAAAGATTAAATCCAGTTTTCCCCCCTGCATCACACATGCCTGGCTACATCCCTCCTCCAGCCCTCAGGAACTTCAGATGCCTTTGAATATTCGGAGAGCCAGGGAGGAGAGCTGAAGGAAGCTGCTAAGCCTTGGGAATTGTGCGCGCTGCCACCAATCCTTTTTCTATTTGTAAATGTCACAGAGGGGTGTGTGTGTGTGTGTTTGTGTGAGCATCTCTGTAATATTTTTTATGTATGCAGAAACAGATTGGTATTTGGTTAAGATTTTAGGATCTGGAGAAAAACTTCCTGGAATCAAATTCTGACTCGTCTACTATGTCCTTGTGACCTTGGGCAGGTAACCTACCCTCTTCACCCTTTGTTTCTCTAGCTGAATGATGGACACCAGAATTGTTCCCATCCGCAGGGCTGTGGTTGGGCCTGGAGAATCCCCAAAAAGTCGTGAGGATGCCCCTTCTCCCTCTCAGCTTCCCCACATGGGCTGTCTGTGTCCCCAGGCCCCATGTGCTCCCCTCCCCCAGAAGAGAACCTCGGCCTGTTCCCATCTGATGCTGTGGGGCTGGCGAGTGGCTAATCTGTGTAATGGTGGGGCATGTTCGTGGAGTTTAATTTCTGCCTAGTTAGGATGGAAACTACTATGTGCCGTCCAACGCTTGCAGCATATATATGCACGGAATGTAGGTCATCTCGTGTATGGCAGGTAGTGACTTCCTATTTTCAGATAACGCCACATAGTACATGGGTCCCTGTGTCATGTTCCTCTTCAATGACCGTTTGGTGGCTGGACTCTTAGTTCTGTAGGTCGTGTTTTCAGTTTTTACTGTTCAGCTTGGGTTAGGATGAATAGTCACTTACGTTAAGCCTGAGATCACTCACATGCTTTCTAAGTTACGTGCTGGCAAGGACGTCACTGCGTTATGACCGCTTGCTCTGTCTTTTCCAGAATCTTTAATTCACCGTAAGACACGGGCAAATCTAAGGACTTCACGTCGGTCATGTCCTTCCTTCGTTTGTGAGCAGAAACAAGGCTCACTTGAGAGGGTGTGTGTCTTTGGACAAAACACACACCCTCTTTGCCTCCTCTGTCCCCGTTACCTTGCAAAACTTCAAGGACACCATTCCCCTCCTGTTCTATGTGTCCCATGTGCCCTTGAAGCCCCCTTCGTGACAGAACGTCTTTGTAGATGAGATGGGTTTAGATGTCCACCCCTTTACGATGGGTTTTCCAATGGAAAGGGACAAAGACACTTCTTTTGGCTTGGAAATTGCAGGCATTTTGATGAAAACACACACACACACACACACACACACACACACACACACACACGGCATTTGGTAACACTTCATTTGCACTGCAGCCCTCCCAAATTACTTTCCCAGTGAAAAAGGTACCCAGAGAGGAAAACCTTGAGCTGATTGCCTTGATTCATGCTATCCTCCAGGCTGCTTCCACGTCAGAGATAATGAGGACGCATGTGACGCCGGTATCTTCCATGTGTACAGTGTTGTTCATTGTCCTTGGTGACACGCTGTCTGCTCTCAAACATACAGGGTGGTCTTGTGACTTGTGAGTCTTCAGGGATCACAGGAGTTCCTCCTCTCCTTCCCCAGAGGGCACATGGGAAGGAACCCAACCTATAAAATGAAAATGGAAAGACAGGGTCCCCCCAGGTCCGTGTGACAAGTGTGTCACTGTGCACTGACTCAGCCTCGCTCTTTTCAGGGGTCCTCCAAGCACACATGGTAATAATCCCATTGAAGTCCTGTCCTCCATGCTTGTGAGGCCAAGAAAGACTGAATGTGGAAAATTTATCTCATAAATTTTTTCAACTCTATTATTTACATTATTTATCTTTTCCTGATTATTTTCCTGCTCTCCTAGAGTAGAGGAGGACCTCATGAGTGGAGTTCTATAAAGCTTTGGACTGAAATTTCTCACTCAGCTGATTCGTCTTTCCCACCCTTCCAGCCTGCGTTTCCATTTGAAGAAGAAGCTAGGGGAAGGAAGGTCGGTGGGAAGTTACCCCAGAAGAGCTTGAGTCTTCGAGGCCGAGACCCTTCCCGCTAATGTGGTTGAGCAGAGCGTTTCCTAGTGAACATCTTCAGCATCCCCTGAAAAAAGAGCTTTACCCCAAAAGGGGATCAAAACTCGCTGGCTCAGAGGTTTCCTCAAGCCACGCTACGCCTTACCCACATCTGATGCTGACCCTGGCAGAAAGACCCCAGACCCTCATCACACCTGAGAACATCAGATACTCAGCTCAGGGCAAAAACGAAACAAAAGTAACCTTCATATGACCTTGTAGGAGAAACAGAGGTTTCATTTGGAAGATTTAAGATGAAGTTTTGGACTCAGCCTAGAGTGCTCATAGAGAATATCTAACTAGTCTAGAGATGAGACACCTGGAGGTCAGGGAGTTCAAGGGGCACAGGGGCCATGACAAAGTGCTGAAACGTGAGGCCAGGGCCCCCTCCGGTGGGGCGAGGCAGGGGCAGGGCTCCTTGGCTGACGTCCAATTCATGAGTTCTTTCTACCTCAGGCAGGTGCTCTTCCGGTAAAGACCTTCCCTGGGGCCCCTAGGCTCCACGTAAAGGGACAGCGTTTGTCACACTCCTGAGGTGGGGGCTGAGTGTTGTCTCAGGTTGGCTCCCCAAGAAACAGACGAGATTGGCCTGTGGGGTGGCTCTGGGAGGGTGCACTCGGGAGTCCCTGAAAGGAGCTGGGGGCAGGGCAGACCGGGCAAAGGACGAAGGTGGACATAAGGAAAGGCGGGCCTCAGCCCATCTCCCAGGGTCCCTGGAGTCTGGGGGCCTGCAGTTGTCCCAGCCAGGTGAGCGGGCTGGGACTGTGAGCCTCTGCTAGACCCCTGGCTAGGGTGCAGTGAGGGTACACCCTCGAGTTGGCAGCCCCCCCTGGGCTCTCCGGAAAGCCACTGCTCCAAGCGCTGTGGCTGGGGCCTCCGGCACACGTGGGGCACTCTGCAGCCTCCAGACAGGCGCAGTCGGGATTTGGGATTGGGAGGCTTGGGGAAATGCCTTTGGGCTGCTCCAGACCCTGAAGAACCAAGCTGAGTGGCCCTGGGCTTTGTGCGGCATTCCAGCTGTCCCGAGAGCAAAGGATTGAAACTAGGAGGTGTCTTTGTGAAGGAAGAACCAGAGAGAGGGACTGAGTAGTTCGAAGCTGGCTGCAGCTGGGCAGGACGACAGCCCCAGATAGAAGCTTCCGGAACCCAGAGGCGCTTCTGTGTCTCCCACCTGCTCCTCCGGCCGTCTTGCCGGTTAGACTGTAGTTGCGCGCTCTGCCACCGGGCGGCAGTGTCGTGCCACCTGCCGGGGCCGGGGTGCGCAGGCTGGAGAGGACACTGTTTGCCCCGCCCTTCCCAGAACGCTAATCTGCCTGACGGGGTCCCTAACCTCTGCTTCCTCATCTACAGGGGCAGGTACAGCTCCTGCTCCCTGGCACGGGGTTAGCAGCCTCAACGGAAACATATGTGAAGCACCAGGGCAGGTGGCCGGTCACCCAGGCCGGGAGCTGTTGTGCAAACGTGTCCACCTCCCGCGCGGGACCGTCCTTTCTTAGCAAGGCCACCGTGTTTTCTCTGACTAAAAGACAGAGGAGGGGAGCGAGACTCAGTGGGTTGGATGACAATGAAAATCCAGCTGAGGAATGGAGATAGCAGCTCAAGAACAGGTACTCTGAGCCGTGCACATGGAGGGAAAAGCACCGGGGCGCATGTGGAGCCCACAGTGTCCAGGTGTCCGGGCTCCATCGAAGACCAGCAGTTGCCTCCTCGGGGGCGTATGCTTTGGGATGTCACTGGGAAAGCAGGGCCGAAGCTGTAAGTCGTGCCCAGACCCAGGCCTGCGTGACTCCAGGGGCTCCTGGAGTCTGCCCGCCTCCACCCAGGAAGCAAGTTCCTGGCCCCGTGGTCAGGAGAGGGACAATCTAGGCATCCCAGACACAGCTTCCGAGTCTGCCATACACGGGCGCGACACCGTGCAACCAATTCCATCACCCCTGACGGTCGGTGGGCTGAGGACGATAATGTCAAAATCCCCTGTGCTGTTCCGTCCCTCTATTGCCCACCTGGTGTCCCCAATATCCGCCTCTCCCAGCTGGTCACAGGCTGCCTTCCTGCTGGTAAATGAGAAACAGGTAAGTTTCTGATGATCCAGAAAGCCTGAGGGAGCCAAGAGCCCTTTGGCTCTGCAGGCATCTCCCCGACGGCGCGACTTGTCACGATGAAATTCAAAAACTGAACTCTGCAGACGGAAGGAGCCGCCTGGGGTGGTCTTTCACACATGGTGTGACAGACGATCATCCTTAAAAATCCATTAACACACGATGAATACAGATGTTGAGATTTAAATACCCACATTGCCGTCCCGGTCCCTCCTCCCCCCTTCTTAAGTCAGGGCTGCTCCCGCCACTCCTTGTGTGCGTGGGTTCCTTCAGGGGGCTTCCCGGTGGGGGTGTTGGAAGGGTAACCTAGCTTCAGGTATGGTGGTCACCCTGAGTTTTCATCACAGCGTCGCCTGGCTGCTGTCTGCCATTCCTGCCCTCCCCCGGTCTCAGCCGAGGGGCTAGTTGTCTGAGGACCAACATTGGCCAGCGGTGGGGGCCCAGGAGGGGCGAGGCTATGGGGTGGGAGACTTGCTCCCTGCAGGAAGGGAAGCTCCACAAGGGTCAGGAGGCGAAGCCTGGGAGAGGCTCGGCCATGCTGGTTCAGGGTGCACCGAGGCTGGGTTTTCGTCCTCCGCTGGAGGGAAATGGGCAGGGTGAGGTGGGCACGCACGCCGGGAGTTTCAGGCCGTGGTCATTTGGGTGAATCCTTCTTTACACGCAGAGCGAGAGAATTGAGTATCTAACCCGTGGCAGTCTTACTACATTCCGGTCCCTGTGCTGAGTTTTTACTCGTGTTTTTCAACATGATAGACTCAGCTTCTGCCCCTACAGAGTTTCCATTTCGGCGGACGCGGCGGACAAAACGTAGGGCTTCATAAATGGGTACATGACAGTGATAGCGTAGATGCCCCTGAGCGCGTGGTGGCTGTGGGGTGCCGGCTCTCTCCGAGCCTTCGCTTCGTGCTTCAAGCTCATTGACTCTTGAAACACCGTGAGGAGTCGGCACTCTCGGCCCTGGATGGGTTAAGAGATGGGCCCAAGGTCACACGGTGGGTGGGGCGGGGCTTTGCACCCCTGCAGCAGGTGTCAGAGCCCGTGCCCTGCTTGGCACAGGATTGGCCTTGGAGAAGTCCTGGGTGGGATGGTAATGAACCGTGGGAGCCCAGAACCCGGACTCAGGCCGGCAGGATTTGAAAATACTTTTGGAGAAAGTGAACTATGAAGAGTGAGTGGAAATTTGTGCAATGCAGGAGGGCGAAGTGCCAGGGGTGCAGAGTGGCCTGGAGCTTAGCGCCCGGGGCCGGAGGGAGGTGGGGAAAGGCCTGACCACGGCACTCAGAGAAGGTGGCGATCACACCCCCCAGCCAGGGCCTGCGCTAGCCAGGAAGAGGCACCGAGAACACACGCAAACATGTATGTGGTCCAGGGGCTGGGAAGCTTGAGGATCGGCTCGAGGGCCTACGCCGTCCTTCACCGGCTCTGCATCGGTAGGTGGGGAGGCAGCGGCCACAGAGCAAACCAGACGGAATCATGGCAGGAGGGTGACATTCGGAGAAAATGAACAATTCTCTAGTGACTCTTTCCTGGAAGGATTTCTAGGTCTGAACCTCATCCTTCTTGAAAGTCTGTCTGGCCTTCCAGGACTCCCCCCGGTTCCTGCTCCTTTCCCATCCGCTCTGGCCTTTCTCTGGAAGTCCCCCTTGCCGACTCCTCGTCCTCGGCCCAGCTGCAAACTGTCCCAGCGCCTGTGGCTCCCAGGCCTGCCCCCTCCTTACTGGTGAGCCCTGTCCTGGCGTGCTCCCCTGCTCTACGCCATTGACTACCATCTGTATTCTGATGGAACCCACGGCATTACCTGGAGTGTCACCCTTTCATCTCAGCTCCAGGCTCCTGGATGCCATGAAATATCTCCATTACACACCTCCCAGGGACCTGGCTTCCAAGTCTGCCAGCACGCTAGCCTCTTGTTCCCCGATCCCCGGGGACTCCTACACGCCCCTTTTCTCGGCAATGACCCCATCATTCACCTACTTTCCTGAGCCAGAAAGCTGAGAGTGATTCTTGACTCCTTATCTCTTGGAATTTGTTTATAGCAGACGTGTGTCATGTTTGTGGGTGGCCAACGTCTTTTTAAGAACTCCCATGTAGAAGTTCA